CGACCCAAGCCCTTGGTGTCCCTCCCGGGCCTCGCTCAGCCAGTGAGCGGGAACCGGTCTGTATGTGGGATCCAAACCCTCGGCGGGAGTGCCGCCGCACTTCCCAAGCAGCGCACTATAGCAGTGCGCCACCGGGCCGGCCCAGAGGTGGCTGTTATTTGAACCTGCAAACCTAAACCACATATTGATTGAACTTTGGAACATGCACATGGCAGGAGCTATCACTTATCTCCCAATATCTATTTTTCCCTTCTACAGGTTTCTCACTTTTTAGCTCAGGCATTGTGAACCTAGAATAAAGATAACTTTTTCAAGATTTCATCACTGCGTCTTGGTTTGGCCATGTGACTAAGTTCTGGCCAATGGAGACACTTCCAGGAAGTATCCTTAAAGGAGTGGGGAAGATACCTATCCCCTCCCCTTTTTTCTTTCCTGCTGGCTGAAATGTAGATGCAATGGCTGGAGCTGGAGCAGCCATATTGGACTAAGGGGGTAGGGGCCTCGTTTTGTGAATGGCAGAGAAATAAGGTAGAGATTGAATCCCATCTGGTGGGTGTAGCATCCCTGAACTGCCTATCTGAATTTTTAAGAGAGAGAAACAGACTTCTATCTTTTTTAAGTGTTACTGTTCTGGCTTTTCTGTTGTTCATGGCCTAACTGAATTTTTACCAATTTGAGCATCACGCATAATTGTTTTTATTAATACAGTACTTGAGATGTAAAAATTTAGTAAATACATATTTGACCTTTTTCTGTGAAGGGACTGTTACAGGTGCTGATGAGTCCCTGTTCCAGATGCTGTTGCTGCATAAAAATTCACCCCAAAAGTTAGCAGCAAAAAGTAGTTATTTTATTATGCTCACAAATTCTGTGGGACAGGAATTTGGATGGAGCACAGTGGGGACAACTTTTCTCTGCTAAACAGTATCTGGTGCTTGGCTGGGAAGACTTGAAGGCTGGACTTGACATGATGGCTATGGGCAGGAAGCGTCTGGGGGTGTCTTCAGCCACAGTTCTGGAGCTGATGTTGGCAATCGGCTGGGGCTAGGCTGTTGGTTGGAACACCTACATTTGTGACCTCTCTGTGTGGGCTCATTCCGGCTTCTTCACAACCTGGCACTGGGTTCTTACAGTGAGCCTCCCAAGAGAGCAAGAGAAGTACATGGTATTATTATGACTAGTCTCGGAATTCATATAATGTGTCTTCTGCCATACTCTGTTGGAGGAAGCAGTCACCAAGGTCTACCCAGTTTCAAGGGAAGGGTGCAAAGATCCCACCACTTGATGAGAGGAATGTTAAGATTGCATTATTATAAGAGTATGTGGGATGAAAAATATTGTTGCAACCATCTTTGGAAAATAAAATCTGCCACACTTTAATCATTTCGTCAAGACAAGAACTACTTGGGAGAGACTGAGGGTAGCAAGTGGTTTTTCTTTTAATCTTCCTTGGGTCAGCCTTGGATACAGGTGAATTGGCTGGAATGGTGCAGTTAAAATGAAAGCAATACCACATTCTATAGCCCCCAGAGAACCTATTCTTTGACCCACAGCTCTGAATTAATAAGTAAGGGTGTGCGTGTACATGTGTGTAGAGATAAAGGCACAGTAATTCCACCATGATGTAGGTATTATGATCCTTTTATATCTGTACAACCCTTAGAGCTTATTTAAGGCTTTTAGGTATTATCTCATTTGATTCTCCCCATAACCTCAAGATGTAGGAAGGACCATCATGTGCCATGTAACCTCATGTTATGGGTACCTTACTAAGATTGAGAGAAGTAAAATAATTTACTGAAGGTGGTATGTAGTAGAGATAGTAATGCTCACCAAATCCTCCATTTGTTCTACATTTCGCAGCTCCCTTACTTGAGGCCATGTGGTTAGCTGTGGCCAGTGAAATAAGAAAGTGACTAGTGTCACTTCTGGGTGAAGAAGGTGAAGCTGTGGTGTGAGGTTCTCCAGTCTTTCTTCCCCTTCCACGGCAGCGAGTGGTGCTCAAGATGGTGAAGCCACAGCCTGGGTCTTGGGTGACTCGTAGAACAGAATCCCTATTACCTACTCAGGTTCGACAGACAGCATAAGTGAGAAATAAACCTTTGTTGTACTTAGCCACTTGATTTCCTGGCTAATCGGTTAACATCACATCACAAGCATAACATGACATAACACAACATAACATTATGTTAAGACATAACATGATAGCCTATCTGACTAATATAAACAATTGATAAGTGATATTCAGAAAATTTTTTTTTTTTCCCTTTTTGTCTTTTTTACTGACTGGTAACGGGATCGCAACCCTCGGTGTTGCGCCCACACTGCGCTCAGCCAGTGAGCGGGAACCGGTCTCCACATGGGATCCGAACCCTCAGCGGGAGCACCGCCACACTCCCAAGCGGTGCACTCTGCAGTGCGCCACTGGGCTGGCCCCAGAAAATGTTTTTAAGAGGCCAGTTCAGTTATCCTCACTGCTCCGTGCTATTTCTTTTTGCAAGGAAAGTAGTTGGATTCCTTGTCCCTTAGTGCAGGGTCACCAGTTCCTGTGGGGGCCAGACTGTAAGTGGGTGAAGTCCTGGTGAAAACTGTTGAATACGAGAGTGCATACCTCATCTAAAGGAGCCAGAAGCTTCTCATCTCTGGCCATTTGTTGCCACTCATGAATGTGGTCCCTGTGTTGCTAGGGCTTTCAGTTTTTCAAAGGAAATGGAAAATCTGGATGTTCGTATGAAGTCTAATCTTTAAATACTTGTAATTAAATTTAAAAGGAAAAAAACATGGGAAGCCAAGCTAAATATGTTTGCAGGTCAAATTTAGCTGTGCTAACTTTTGTCCCAGTGCAATGATTTTCAAACTTCATAGTTTCAAACTCTTCTAATTAAGTCTTTTGTTAAAGCCTAGAGTCTATAATAAAGCAGAGCTTCTCCAGTGGGAGCAGGACTGGAGATTCTGGAGTCACCTGCTCAGTCCTCACCACCAATTTCCAAGGAACCTCCTGAGTCTTGAAAATGGCTACTGAGAAAGTGAAACCAAAGTCTATTCCTGGTTTTGAAGAATATATTCTAAGATTGTGTGTAATACATGCTTTTCACTTAAATATAAGATCTAAATAATATCTCAATCTTGTGAGAAGCAGGAAACACTCCTTAAAACCTTTATATTACCATTCTTAATAAAAAGGAGGAAGCATACCATTTCCTCAAGAAGTCATAATTTAGTGCCAGGAAAAAAAATGTAATGTCATACATAATTTTTCCCTGCTACGATTAATTAAAACAGCAACAACAACAAAACATGGTGGGAGAATCAAGTAGTATGGAAGGCCTTAACAAAGAAAAGCAAGTTTAACATTTCACTCTCAGTTC